GGGGGGGGGGGGGGGGGGGGGGGGTACTCTTACGTTGTGCATGCCTTAACGGTTAGATCGTTGACCACGCGTCCTCGAGGGAACGGAGCATTGTTCCCACATGACCGATCACCGGTGGCCAATCGTTCCTTCCTACTTTGCCGAAGGTGGCTCAAAAATGCCTTCCCTACAGGGGGGGAGGGGGGCGAGAATCGAGTGCCCGCACGGGTAGTCGGGGTTCAGCACAAGCGGCTAAGAAAAAATGATGTCAAAGGTGTTTGAGATACTTCTGCGGGTAAAATAACCTGTTCGACAGGCAGCGCTTTGCACACCGGTCGTTCTTGTTCTTCCGTGTCCACAACAAAAAACATGTCGGTGTTCTTTAACGTTTGGCACGCCATCGCGGTCCCTCTGCGATTACAATTTCAGAGGTAAAATTCATGCCTGGGGCGTGTTAGTGATCACCCTGTGTTTCTGCCACTCTCCGAGCAGCATACAGCGATACCTCCCCTGCACCGGTACTGCTGTTGGGGGGGTGGTGGTATCTCCAAAACCGAACCAAAAACGTGGTTGAAAATGTTGCCTTTGGGGGGAATCGCGCGGCGGGAATGGTACCCTATGGGGAATCGCGCGGCGGGAATGGTACCTATGCTACCACTACACATACTGCGCACCATTTACCAACCTGTTCGGGGTACGGGACGGTACTCGCTGTGAATGCCATAGCCCAGGTGCTTGAATCTCTATTCACCCTCTACCTGTAATCTGTGAAACGTTTCATTTAGGTGCCACCGTTGCAAAGTGCCAAAACTTTCATCAAAGTCGCTTCGCGGCACGCCTTGTTCAGCTCCAATGACGAGCATTGTAAACGCTTCGTTGGCACCAAACTCTGACAATATCGATAGTGAGGGTCGCCACCATGTCGGAGTCGAAATTGCAACAGATGGATGATCCTTGCAGTTCCGACTCCAACATGGTGGCGGCCCTCACTATCGTTATTATCAGCGTTTCGTGTCGACCAAGCATCTCCAATGCTCGTCATCGGACATGAACAAGGCGTGTCGACGCGAAGCGACTTTGGTCGTGACAGTTGGTGAGCGCTACATGCCACCCTGGACCGCCTGGCACGCAGCAGGAAGCACAACGATAGTGCGAGTGCGCTCGGCTATGTACGGCCGGGAAGATGGTTACCGTGGGTGACGCAAGACATCACATCCCCTGGATCGATTTTCAAAGCTCGATTACTTGGGCAGGAAAAACAAGCAAGTTAGCGACGGTGCCGGAAATGGCGGCGTTGGAACTGTCTCGCCGAGAGCTTTCCGAAAATGTATCATTTGATGTCGGCATCCTCCTCCTCCTCCTCCTCGTGGAACGCTACAATAACAGAGTTTGTCTATTTTGACTTAGAAAGAACACAACAAATTCATCTCTGCCACAGATAAGAGTCCGTGGTAGATTAGCCATGGGTGAATTCATAGTGTTGTACGGTGTGAGCTAACCGCTAAGGCGTGCAAAACATAAGAGCACCCCCCCTCCCCCCCCCCCCCCCTCTTTCGACAATTGTCCGACGACCTTAAAAAATTAACTGTGGATCAGAGCCGAGAGGTGAGCATGGCGTGGCACTACCGGGACTGCGACCTCGGGCACGGTGCGTGGCAGGCCAAGCAGCTACACGTCCATCTGTTGCAGTTTCGACTTCAACATGGCGGCGGCCCTCTCTAACGCTATTATCAGCGTTTCGTGTCGACGCGAAGCGACTTTGGTCGTGACAGTTGGTAAATAATAGTGCAAACACGAGTGCTTGTTTGGGCCGAAACCGTCGGTGTGTTTTCTGCGGCTGCCTCGCACGCCACGATCACGAGACGAGGATTTTGAACAGCAGGTAATACGACACAAAGAACGACCGATGTCCCAGGATGACGAGTAAACGAAGCCTCCTTTTCATCGTTTTTTCTGGGGTCTGCTTGAAGCAGCACCCGGGGAAACACGTCAAAAGGCTGTACATAGGCTTGTTGGATGATGTCTATTGTGTGACATGCACAAACGGAACGAGACCAGGCCATAACACAAACATGAAAATTTCACCACGAAGCACACGACGACGACGACGACGACGACGACAGCAACAACAAAAACGAAGACGAACACGACAACGACAGCAGCAGCAGACACAACAACACACACCTTGAGGCCTCGCATGAACGTGCCCTGAGTCGTCTCCGTCAACGTCCGCCCACTCCTGTCCTTCAGCGTGGTCTTGGTTCGCAGCAGCACGCCTCCTCTCCGTCGGTAAACCCCCAACACCACCGAACTGTTGCGTATCAAGGAATGAAACAATTAGACACGTCGAAACAAAAAGAGCGGGGTAATTTCACGGCGTGCGGCGGGGGCGACCGCGGGGTAGCAAATAAACTGCTTGCCTTTGTGATGTGACACATGATCACGCACGCACCCCTTTCGGAGAAGAGAGGTTTCAAGTGCTGATAGACCACCTGTGCCGGAGAAATGAGGGTCTCCAAGCGAGCCTATATAGATGATTTAAACCCAGCTACAACTTCGGACATTTCTTGGGGGCAATTATCTGCTTCACACCACCTCTGCATGTGTTTCTCCTTCGGCAGGCGCGACTATGTCTAAACTCAATGCGAGGACCTCGAAACATGTGTCAGCGAAAAATCGCACCGTTTCGTTGGCCTGCCGGTCCTCCTCCGATGGTTATTCAATGAAAAACAAGCGTATCGTTCTGTTCAGGCCACAAGGACGTTGCACGAGCATCAACAACGACGGCACTCCAAACAACAGCAATGGTAAAGCAACATACCTGCAATATACTTGGATCAACAATAGCAGCAACAGCGACAGCGACACACGCACCGACTCGCAAGTTCCGCTCCTCTGGGATCCAGCGGCTCAAAGACATCGATTGACTGGTCGTAGTGCAGGATGCCCCCAGTGTTCACGACACCACGGAGCGCTTGAGGGAGCACAAACAACGTTCGGCCTGTCCTGTCGAGTGACGGTAAGACACGATGGTCCCCGGAAAGAAAAAAAAAAAAACGGGAACGAATTGCCAGCGAGTCAAAGAGACACGGGGTGGGGGGAGCGTGAGAAAATAGATGTGGCAGCACCCTACCGAATACGCACAAGTCATCCACAATGAAACACTGCTGTGCGGTGCTCTGACTTGGGGCTAGGCGCTAGCCTCGATGGTAGCTCTGACGTCCCATCTCTCGCGGCAACACTTGCGTGAGAGAAAGGAGTTATTGTTTCGACTGGCCGATATGTGGGTCCTCTTACGACTGTCGGTGAAATCGGCTGGCATTGTTGTTGTTGTTGTTGTTCTTGTCTTGACATTAAAAACCGTTCCGGTCTCCACTCAGTACCTTCTAATATCCGTACTATAACAGTCCAACTGATGCGGATGCCTTCCGTGGTCACAAGCCAACTGCCCCCATATAGGGGGGGAGGAGTACACCTTTCTAAAAAATAAAGAAAAAAAAACACGAAATGAACACCAGAAAATTCCTGCAAGGCGCGATTTGTTGTCCAGCCGAAAAAAGATACCACTTCATGGAAAAATCCAGACGGGTAAGGCATTGAATAGTGCGGGTACCCGCGCGATAGTGCGGGTGAAAGCGTTTGGGACATGGAGGGCACTCGACTGTGTATACCTTTGTGGTTTGTTCTCCGTTGAGAGCAGACATCACCGCGTTGATGAGGATGGGGGGGGGGGGGGGGGCGTACTCTTATGTTTTGCATGCCTTAGCGGTTAGACCATTGACCACGCGTCCTCGAGAGGACGGAGCATTGTTCCCACAGGACCGATCACCGATGGCCAATCGTTCCTTCCTACTTTGCCAAGGGTGGCTCAAAAATGTCTTCCCTAGTTTGTCTATCCTACCGATGTCCCTTCCCGCCTTTTCAAACCACTTTCTACTCCCCAGTACCGCTACCGTCCTCTCCTCTCTATTCCATGCCTCAAACATCTCCCTGTACGTCCCTTGTATTTTTCCCAGCTCAGTCATGTACACTTCCCTCTCCTCTTCGTACCACGGACATTCCGCGACTACATGAACACTGTCTTCGCATTCGAAACCGCAATCGCATTTGAACTTGTCGTCTTCGTCGTCTACCGTCCTATGTCTTCGTCGACGTTCGCGAAGGCCTATGTCCCCGGTCCTGAATTTGATCTTAAGCTTTGTCCCTGCATCCATTGGTCCATGTAGGTAATCCTTGAACCCTATTCCTTCTTTCAACATTCCGTACACTTCTAGACCCTCCTTATCCTTGGATTCTTTCCTTAGATTCTGTTCTTCTCTGTCGGCACAAGCAACAGATATCTTCTTCTTGAACCCCTGTAGACCCTCCGTTTCAAGCGTTTCATCTTCGTCGATGTCCAATCCCTTCCATACGTCCTCTACAACCTTGACCCATTCCGTGGGTTGTCTACCCCTCTTTTTGTTTGCCCACTTCGCCTCCCATACTATTCTCGGCAATCTCTCCTCTCCCATCCGGCACATGCGATACTGCCATGTCAGCTTCCTTACGTCTCTTCCCGACCGTAGGGATTGGATCCCCAATTCTGCCCTGACTGCTGCATTACTTGTGCGCTTGGAGCATCCTAGGATGATTTTCGCTGCTTTCATCTGCGCCGCCTCGAGTTCTTTCACTACCTTCTTATTTCCTTCCCATACTTCTCCGGCGTACTCTAGCGGCGGTACGATTACGCTCTTCAAAACCGCCAATTTGATGCGTGTATCAAGGTGCCGGTTTGCGAGTATTGGGTGCAGCTTCCCTGCTCGTGCTTTGCCCTTTTCCGCTACCTTGGACATGTGTGCATTCCACGAGCAATCTTTTGCGATCTCTACTCCGAGGTATGTGTACTGGTCCACTACTGCAATCTCCTCGATCCCCCACTTCCATCTATGTTCTACTGGTTCCTCCCTGCCCTCGTTGCATACCATGACGGCACTCTTCGTAACGTTGGCAGACAATCTCCACTTATCAGTAAACTTCTTCGCCGCGTCAATTTGCAGTTGCAGTCCCTCAGGGGTGTCCGACATACCAACAAAATCATCCGCAAACAGCATTCCTGACACCAACGTTTCCGTGTCCCCTACTTTTACTCCCTTCCGGACTGCCTCTACGACTTCCAACAGATCGTTGATGAACACCTGGAACAATGTTGGGGACAGCGTGCAACCTTGTGGGACCCCTTGCTCAATGTCGAATTCATCAGGATGGGGCGGAGAAAAGCAGGGCGAGGATAAACAGGCCGGTTGCGAGCGTGACCGGTAGCTCGTCGCCAGTCAGTCGGGATAGAAGCCTTCTTCTTTGTGTCAAGCAAAGCATACGATGAGCGGGAGACAGCTCTCGCTATTAGCTTGTTTCAAGGGCAAACCGTCACTACATTCGAGTTTGTTTGCGGCAAGTGTTCCGTACGGTGCAGCTTGCTGGAGTTCCAATGTAATGTCCAGCTAGTGCGTTCCCTACCGCCGCCAGTACAGGTTTCGTCTCTGTGCTGTGGTGAAAAGCTGACAACGAATAATGGCAACTGTCAATTTTTTTTATTTTTTTTGTCTTCGCTTCAAATCAACGCTCACTGCACTAGTGCCGTTTACTCCAACCCATGGTCACACAGAAGAGCCCCTCTCTATCCTCCCCTCCTGCGGTACTTTGCCTTCGATTTGTAGTGCGAGAAGAGTTCAGCACTCTCTTGCCTCTGTGTACACACGAACTAGCGCTATCTACTAAGCCAGGAGCGGAAGCGAGAGAAAAACTCACTTTGCAAGAAAAGCTCGCTTACGACGGGATTCGAACCCATGATCTGGCCTCTAGAGGGTTTCGAAGATACCAACTAGACCACCGGGGCGACCGTCATGCGCCTCGCCTGTTACCGACGAAAAAATGAAAAAACAAAGTCCGCCTCGATTGCGTCAATACATGAGTAGTGGACCCCTGTCAGCGCCACTGCCAAGTGTGTTACACAAGCACGGCACAAAGTCGCCTCTGTCTGTGGCAGCTCAAATAATTGCCGGAGTCACTCGGAGGCACACGTTTCGTCGCGATCTCTCCGAATCCCGGTCCGAAATGGTACCACCACCAGTACAGCAGTACTTGAAAAAAACTACTTGAAACTTTTAAGGAATAGTAAAAAACTTGTAATCGTCGTTCTTCATGTTATTTTTGTCGCACTACATACACCTGCTGTGGGGCCACCGAACGTCGCCAACGCTCCGATTCTTACGGCACTACGCGTGATGGATGCCCTTGTGCTCGAGTGTGCTTCGCTAGGAGTGAGGGCATCAATGACGCGGCAGAAGACGCGCAGCGGCCATGTACGTGCTCATTTTGGAAAAAAGACCCAGAATGTTTTCAAAACGTTTTTTCAGCATCTCTCCGCGTTGTTTTGCATTTTTCACCCGCTACACATGCTACTCGCAATTGCTGCGTACACGACAACACCCACGCAATTCACCTCACCAGGAAAAGGAACAACGTCCGAGGAGGTCCCCTTGTAAGGCAAGACCAAAGGGTAGGTGGGAAACGCGCTGAACGCGACATCGTTCTCGTCGACAAATCTCCTTGCCTCCGCTCCTATCCCAAGGGCATAGATGATGAGATCTCTTCGCGTGTACGATACGGCGAAGGGGCCCTCTGCTTGCCCGACGATCGCCGAAGCGTCTACGGCACTGCCCTCCATCCTTGCTGCAGCAGCGTGCGTGGCGGAGAGCGCACGAGAGGGAGTAAAGAGAGACCTGAAACGGAGTGATGTATGGATCGATCAACCACAGCTGGTCATCAGCCTACCGGAAGGGGAATCGCGGACTAGAATGGGGCACCCCGCCTTGCCCATTTATTGGCGTTTTGAAATCTTGATTTGGTTACGTGGATCTTGCATTCGAAATCACAGGATGGTAAGTTTGTAACTTTGCTGAGCATCTCGCGGAGGCTGAAAGCATGCGTCAACAACAGTACGTGCGTTGAAGGGCGCCACGATTGGCTTTGCTCATCATGATCAAAATTCGCACCTACACGTCCCAAAAGAGAATATATGTCGCAGAACCAGGGTACATACCCCCGATAAGGAAGTTTCATCTGCGGCGCCCCGTGCCATGAGCCGGCCGCCCACACCACGTGCACTCTGCCACTCGCGAGTGGAGCACACCCAAGCATATACCTGAAGAGGATCTGGTAGCGGAAGCCACATCATCATACGTGGGTGCTCCCACCGCTTGGGGCCTCCGCTGAGCGTTCGTACCCAGATCAACAAGGTCGTATCGGCGCCGTCTTTGATACTGCTTGTAAGCGCGTGAATTTTGCACACGAGATTTTTGAGAGAGGAGAGGAGCCGCAGGAGAGCGAGGCGGCACCAACAGCCCTACAGCGGTTCGTGAGCACCGCTGGCTCTGCTGCGCACGGCGGGCGGCGGACGACGGCGATGGATTCCAACGGAGACGATCCCACGGACATGAAGGTGGCCGATATCAAGGAGGTGGCGGCGCCAGCCGCCGAGTCGTCCAAGGTTCAGCAGCAGGACTTGGCGCGACGCTCTCCTTACCCAACAACATCACCATCATCATCAGCCAAAAAGACAACGACAACAACAACTTCCCCTCGGGCGGCAACGCCGACGTCTGGCGACCGCAAAGCACTAGTAACGCCATCATCAGCAGCAGTAGACCGCTCGCCGACGCCGCCAGGGGACTATATGGATGTTGACGGCGTAAGCTCGGGGCGAGGCAAGACTACGGAATCGGGAAAAGGAAGGGCGGAATTGGGAGGAGGAGCAACAACAAGCGGTAACAACGGAGGGGGGGCGGGCACGGGCAGGAAGCCGAGGGGGTTAGCGAACGGATTAGCGGCGGCGGAGCCGTCCCGCGTTGGCGCGGCCAAACCTCCGGCACCCGCGGGCGACAAGAAAAGCCCGCGAGTTGTCGGGGGTACAACCGACTCCAAGAGGGATGGCAGCAGCAGCAGCAGCAGCAGCAGCACGAAAACCAGCTCGACCAGCAACAAGATGATGATCTCGCCGCAGCAAGAAAACGCCGCCAAGCCGCCCGGAAAACCCAAGAGCCCTCTAGCAGCAAGGGTCGTCCCGGCTGCGTCTGTGCCCGCCACTAACGGCAAGACCAGAGCAAAGGCGCCACCACCCCTTGCCCGCGGCTCTGCTCCTGTTACCGCTGCTGCTGCTGCTGCCGGAGAAGGCAAGAGCCGCGCGGGGGTTTTGCCTTTTTCGGGTCGCAATGGAGTTGTTAGCGACGGGCTCGAGGTATTCGGGTCGGACGGGACCAAGAAACGCTTGCCGCGTGTGCTTGCATCCAAGCCGGTGCCGGCGGATGGCTCCAAGGGCGCCAAGAGTCCACCAAGCACTGGCGCCGCGGCTCCTTCCAGTGCTGCTGCGGTACGCTCGACCAGCCGCAGCTCGACACCGACCAACGCCAACACGAAGACAACCGCCAACGCCAACACGGGCACAACGCCGCCGGTGCCTATAGCTGTTCAGCAGCAGCAGAGGGGGCGCGCGTCTCCCACCACGAGCTCCTCCTCTTCCGCGTCGTCCTCGCCAAGATCGGCGGACGGCGAGGCCGCGCTCACGATCGAAGAAGACAGCAGCACCGATGGTAAGGCCACCAAGCGACGTCGCCGTTCCCGCGTGGCAACTCCAACGAGCGGGGACTCCGATCACGCCGTCGAGGCGCCGCCGCCCCGCTCTCGCCGCCGCACGGACAGCGGCGGCCCCGAACACGCGGCGCCGGGAGGACCATCCTCCCCGAAATCAGCAGCATCTCTCAATGGCCGCTCTCTTCTCGTGTCCGCGGCCGCGACAACGACGCCCGCCGTCTCCGCTTCCTCCTCTATAGCGCTCGGTGGCGGCGTCAGAAGCAGCAGCGGCAGCAGCAGCAGAGGAAACGGCGGCGGGGGAGGAGCAGGAACATCAGGCATGCCGCCGGCGAAGAAGCGCAGCCGACAAAGCGCTAAAGACAACAGCGGGGGCGGCGGCGGCAGCAGCAGTTCTGGGGCGAGCGGGAGTAGCGGTAACGGCAGCGGCTCGGTAGGAGGGCGCGGCGGCGGCGGGCGTGGAGGGGTTTCCGGGAGGGGAAGAGGCAGGGGCAGAGGCAGAGGGCGGGGGCGGCGAAAAGGGGCCTCGCTCTTGGAGGACTACCACGCGTCGAAGGGGCCGAGCAACAAGCCGAAGGAGATGCGGTGGCGGACGCACCGCATGGTGGAGGACTACACCAACGTATGCGGGAAGATCATGTATGGGCACGTGAGAACCGGGCCTTTCGGGTACAACTCGGTGGAGGGGCGGTTCCCGATGGAGCGGCCGACGACACTGGGCATGATCAAGGCGGGGATGCGGCGGCCGACAGTGATCGAGAGGTGGAGCCCGTACGACGTTGCGCTGTTCGAGGGGGCGATCAGCGTTCACGGGAAGGTGGGTTTAGTGGATGGCGTTTTGCAAGAGGAGGTCGACAACCCTATCGTTGTTTGTGTTTTTATCGTCGGTGGTTTCATGGTCTCTCCTCGCCGTGTACAGAGTCTTGGTTCTTGCGATGGTTGGCAACAGATAGTTTTCGTGGGGCGGCGCGGCGAGAGCAATCGGCGCATCTGTTGTCGGCATGCTATGCGGTCTTGCTCGAGCTCTGCTGAAAGGATTTCACCGACTGCTGTCGGGTACTGTTGTAGCCATGCATGGTGTGCGCGCGTCTTGTCGCCTCGTGACGTATTTGCGCAAACGTGTTTGGCTCCATGTGTGTCTACCATCCGTAACATGATGCAAGATATCACACCCCTCGGACCGATATTCAAATATCGAGTTGTCAACAGCAGACAGCGTGGCGGTGCCAACAATGGCTGCGTTGGAACCGTCTCATCGAGAGCCTTTCAAAACATGTGGTTTGATTTTGGCATCCTCTTCGCCGTGGGGCAATGGAAATTTAAGTGACGGGCCGGGCGGTGTGATATCTCGTATCACCCAAATTAGGCCGAGTCTGTCTTCTCTAACAACGGGTAGGCGTCTCTTTCCCTACTCGACCAACTTTGCAACTGGTTCTCTCTCCACGACAAGAAATTGCACCAATCGATGCGATAGTGGCGTGTTCGCAAAAACACCAATCCCGCGTTTTGAACCTTGGTTGTTGTCCACATGCACAAGTAGGAAAACACGGATATGTGTGTGGGGGGGGGGGTGTTCGCCTCGTGTAAACGGATATGTCGTCATAGATCGCGGTTCTTGGTGCTGGTTTTGAAAGTCGGTGCAGGGGGTGTGGTATCTCATGTCACGTACGGTATGCGGCCGATTAAAGATAACGGCTTCGCATCGCTCCGGACAAGAGAACCTCCATTAAGCAAAAACCGTTCTGTGTGCCGAAGCCACCCCAGCGCCCCAAAGCACTGCGCGCTTGCCTTCCTTGGCTTGGCCTTGATTCCGCCGCTCCCGCGTGCCCTCAATTGCACCGCTTTTGTTTTTTTGGTCCTCAACTCCTCGCGTGTGTTTTGCTCTCTGTGGTAACGTCCGTCCGCCCGACAGGTGTTCCACAAGGTGGCGGAGGAGATAGAGGGGAAGACGGTGGCGGATGTGGTAGAGTTCTACTACATGTGGAAGAAAACCAACCACTACAAGCAGTGGAAGTCCATGTTCCGGGCTGAGCAAGCCATCCTCCAGGCACAAGAAGAAGATAGCAGCGAGGAGGAGGAGGAGGAGGTGGAGGAGGAGAGAGTAGTGGCGGTGGGGCGCAGCAGCAGCGGCGGTGTCCTCGTCAGCAGGGCGGGCGAACCGAAACGGCTAGACGCCGGCCGATCCTCCGTTTGCGGTGCCTCTGGGAGCGGCACTGGGGCGGCCGGGGGACCGCACCAGCAGCACCGAGGGGCAGGCAAGAAGGGTAGCCAGCCCCAGGGCCGAGGGGGTGCAAACAGTCAGCCGCAGGGGCGGGGGGGGCAGCAGCTTCACAAGGGCGGGGGGGGCAGGGGAGGGGGTGGGCAGCCGCAGAAGGGGGGGGGACAACCGCAGAAAGGGGTCGGTGGCCAGCCGCAAAGAGGGGCGGGTGGCCAACCTCACAAGGGGGGGGGTGGCCAGCATCAAAGGGGCGGGGGTGGCCAGCCTCAGAAGGGGGGTGGCGGCCAACCACAGAAGGGGGGAGCTGGCCAGACGCAAAAGGGCGGGGGCAGCCAACAGCGACAGGGTCGGGGAGGGGCCAGCGGAAGTATTCCGCAAGGCCGCCCAGGGGGCGGGGGGCAGCAGGGGCGCGGCGGGGGCGGCGGGGTCGTCGTCATCGTCGTCATAGCACGAGTTTAGGGCCCTCCGCTCTTGCCCCGCCGTCTGTTGTTGTGTCTTTTTTGGAGGGAGGTGGCAGACAGGACGTTTAAACTGTGTAGTTTGGTGTTATTGTTTTGTTTCGATCACAACAGTAAGGAGATATTTGTAATTTTTCTTCATCGTGTTGAGGCTTTCGGCGGGGGGGGGGGGCGGAGGAGCAGCAGCAGTAGCAGGATGGCGTTTGCTGAGGAGTGGGGTGCGTCAGAAATCAGAAGTGAGGAGGATCGACAGCACTGAGACTCCACGCGTTGTGTTGTCTTTTTAATTAAATATTCGCGCTCGATATTTTGCCAAATAGTGTGTGTGT